GGAGCCTTTCTAAAGCCTTTTTAATTCGCTTTTTGAATTTTGTACGATTTTGTTTGTCATGTTCACACCAATATTGTCTTGGAATATTGGCACACTGGCGTGTCTGTTTACAATACATCATAATCGTCAATAACGATGATAATAGCATGAAAAACACTCCTACGCAACATCAAATATATCGAACTTCAAGTCAATTGCCGACTCTGCGGTGACAAAATAATGACTTAAGTGGTGATAGCATGCCAAGCATTATCAATAACGTTGATTGAACACACCTAATAAAATTCATAAACTAAAGTAATGATTATGTTCAAAAGCATGCATTAGCCTCTACTCATCTTCAGAACAGCCAACAGTAATGTGTTTGCACGGCTAAATTCCTTTGTACTACTTAGACTGTACGAAACCTGACGCTTAGCATGATGACCTTGCCAATAAAAGTCTTTACAAGCATTTCATGAAAATCTGCAGCAGCTAAAACAACCCCTGTCGGATCTCCAGAAATTGCTGCAATTTTTAGCTGATCGGATTTGACGATGTCAAGTCGCTTCGTGAGAATCAATAGCATCACAGTTGAGGTACAATTTGACAACGCCAATTCTACTAAGCCAAAATTTAGCAACACTTTTTATGCTGAAACTACAAAAGTGCTATGTCGGAATACTGATATAGAAAATGAAAACTATTTATGATATGTGGCATCAAAGACGAACGATAAACTGCATTAAAGGCACAACTAAAGCATCAGTGCGACGTTCTTTTTTTGCCGAAAGGTCCAAAACATTTCTTTTATCATTCATGTAAGATAGGAAATCAACACGGTACACGTAGATAGATGTGGATGATATTAGATGTGTATGTGTAAAAATTTTACGCACAAATTACATTCACGATGTCTCTAATATTTATAATTTCTGTCAATGCATTTCTATTTCCATCAAATATGCACATAAGCTACATCATGTTATGGTGTGTCTTATCACGTTGTGGTAACTATTGTGTATCCACGTATGAAATTTTGATAGACAGACATCAGGCGCTTTGTGTTAATTTGTCGTCAAGAATCCTTTCATTTATTTATATTAATAAGTTTTACATTTGGCCAGCTGATAAAATGTGTCGAGATGTGGCAGGTGCGTGTAATGCGTTTAGACAAAGATAGTTATAGAGCAGGATGAGTGCACGAGAGATGACGTTGAGAGTGGTTCCTGGATCTGATACGGCTAGAACAGGAGTCTCGTGCGTAGTGCTACGATGCTTAATTGACATCATTATTGAAAAAGGAAGTCGCCATTACATGTGGTTAGTCTTTGTGCTTACATATAGAATTTTATAGCTAGATAAGACTAAGTAGCGTCATCAATATAATAAATGTATTCGTATTGATGCTGGCTACAGCAATAAGCTGGTGGACGATGCAGTTTCTCGTTTGCAAATCGGGATATTTCCGTTCCTTTGACATTACTAGGAAATTTGTATCGATCAATGTGCTTAGAAGTTAGCCTGGTCTAAGTTTCGTTTTTATATTATAGTGAAACGAGAACTCAACGATAAGTACAACTACAAAAAGAGGTATACTGTTAGAGTGTTGCACAGACGGTGCATCAAGATGCTCAGTTCTCTACTTGGAGATGCCAGGCTGTAGAGTAGCTCTGAAAACTGTTGACGCTAGGTACAAATACAATGTTACCGGCATCTATTTGTCGCTAATATTTGGAAAAGCAACTGTGATTAAGATTTGCGAACGTAAAGGTAGGTGCTGATTTGGTACTCTACATATTTCATCTCTTCTTACCTTTTGAGTACAATGAATGGTACGCGATAATAACAATGCATTTCGACAAATTGGATGTGTAATGATATGCAACTTTCATCTGAGACTGTTTCTGAACTCTAAAGCGTTATATTAACGGAATTCGACTGCTCAGATGGCGCTATTGGGTAAGCTGTTTGTTTTTAAATATTTCAAACTGGTGTTTCTGCATCAGAATATACTTTGAACTTTACAGGATTACTTGTTTTCGGGACGTTACAGTAGGCTAGGCGTTAATGTGACTTAGACACTATTTTTTCACGGATGCCGAGGATCGGGTAATTGACGTCTCAACGAGATACCTGACTGCACTTCTACCAGCACCAACCTCAAAGCACTCGCCACACTGGAAGTGGGTACTAGTATGCGCACAAATAATTGATGACTGAACTCTCAAATATGTAGCCCCGCAGTTAAGCTCGTAGTATAAATCATTTTCTAAATGAAGTTGCGCAGAAGCGTCGGTCGATTGATAGTACCATAAATCTGACGAATACACTAGTTCGGACAAAGCGCCGTTACAAAGTACAAGAGGAAAGACAAACCATGTACATAACGCGGGATCGAGGCGGAACGTCCTGACGCTATCACTATCTATCGAACTATGAGCCAAAAAGAATTCGATATATCATACATTGGTATTTCTTATAGTACGGTCAGCATATAATTAAAGGTACAGAAATGGACCACGTTGATCAGGTGAGGTCAATTACAAAGCGTAATGTTATGAATGATTCTAACGCGTATATTGTAGCGGATGAGACTTTTTGTGAAATCTACGGATTTGACTTCGATATATAGCAGCTTGCGAAATTTCGAAGTGACATTCGTTTATTTTAAATTCTACATGTAAAGTGCACGTCATACGTATGTATGCATGTCTACACGCATTCGCTCTTCTTTGCTGTAACCTATCGATGCCGAGATGTAAGGCCCTGCCTCCACCATGATGGGCTATTATAGGTGCTTGTTGCAATTCGCCTGGCTGTCGATCGTAAGTATCAGCTCGCTCGCTGCAAAGGGTCAATTACTGGCGTTTGCTGCGCTTGTGATCAACTAACGATGTTTACCAATCTAATGTTTATGATGGATTTCAAAATGGTATTTGTGTCTAGTAAAGCGTGTCTGCATTCCGAAAAAAGGCTTTTTATGATCATGAATGCTGCGTCTCTTATCTTCGCCTCGGTATCCCAACTCGTGGCCTAAATGTGTATTTGTATCGTTCAATCGCCAACTTATACAAGTTGGTGCAAATTAGCGTTACACAAATATCGATAGTCGAGGATATTGTCGAACGAATTCCAGACTTATGCCTGCAACACGTATACCCTTACGATCATTTTGAAGATTCTTATCCTCCACGGAAGGACACGTTTGCATCAATACAATATCAAAACCAAGCGATAACTTTTATTTACATGAGTTACAGCGAACGAAACAAAGCATCACTATATAGTGAAATATACAACGGTGCCGTGTATTCTTTGGTAAAACGAATTGCACCTTTTTTAATGTTATCGAGACGATGTATCGATTACACTGCTAATATTTAGGTACTCAAGCTTGTATTTATATGTACCTTCACGGTGCTCTTAGCGCGTAGAAAGTAATGGGAATAACCAATAATTAATTCTTATCTTATTCGATTTATGTTGCCTTCAGTTATGATCGGTACATCTTTCACATATATAGCAACGTGAACTCTCTACAGAGCCATTTTTTGTAGATAGTTGATTCATCGATGGTAAAGACTGATGTTACGTCAATACACGAGCGATAGGGCTATCTATAATACATGCGAATTCTTACTTTTATCGTATTTCGTTGCCAATTCGAATTGAAACTCGAAGGATTAGTGGGCTAACCTCGTTTATAATGGAATGGAACTGTGAGAAGCCGATTGTGAACTTTAGATAGATCCGAGCAAAAATCTATCCTTATCGTTTTTCTGAAAGATATCAAACTCGTTTTTCGCATTGCATCCATACGTTTCGCCTCTTTATTTGGACGTTAAAACTGATGTATGACCAATTGTAATAAACAGTAACAAATCGATTGCATTTCAACCGAATGCCATGATAAGGTTCACTATCAATCTGTAGCCGATATAGTCATCAAGCAGTATCCGATATTCCACTATGCAAATATAACGAATCACTTGGAAGGCTTGAAGAAATTGAAGAGACCTGTCCAGATAGTGGCTGCTCACTAATAAGATAGTTGAAATTGTCGTCAGCGTTTGCAAGCCCACTTTAAGCATACAAAACCATATGCGCCATCGAGAGCATCAACAAGCTCAATTTGATTTTTCCATATTCAGCATTTAAATTTGGGGTGCTGCGCAGGGACATAAGAGCGCGACTTGTGAGGCGAAAGGGCGCAACCGGTGATGTTGAGTCGAACCGGTTATAAGCAATTTTCCCCGTGAGGCCCTTCGGAAGCAACGCTATGTGCTATTGGCCCACAACGACAAGCGACGGCGCGGATATCTCAAGAAGGATAAGGTGGGGCCTCCGAGCATGGTGTAGATCGTCTGGATTGGTTCGGAAGCTTATTGGGAATGTGGTGCGTAAAGTGGCGCAGGAACGCGTAGAGCAGGCCCAGCTGCCTCTCCCCGACGAGGAAAACGTATGAGAGTGGCTCGCGTGTCTTCATTTACTTCTCAGCTGGTGAGCGGGACCGGAGTAGAGACGACATGCGCATAATAGCGATGGGTACGTCAATGCCGTTTATAGTGGCGTAGCTTCCATCGCCGCATCAAGAGCAACATCATCCGACATTTCAGCCTACGGTGCAGCTTACGTCAGTAGCATAACAAGACCGGGCTCTTCGTATGAGCGCTGAATCAGTCGAGTCCGCTGTGAAGACGCTACTAGGAACGACTATGTATTTGCGATGTATCAACTTTTCGGCCAAACCCATGCGAGGGAAGCTGGGAACAGCGCCACCCATTCTGTACAGTAATCGATCGAAATGAGCGGTTCTTCTCTAGTCTTCATTTCTATTGAAACGACGAAACGACGAAACGACGAAACGAGAAACGACGAAACGACGAAACAGACGACACAGACGCAGTCGAGGGATCCACTGGAGCCCACTCATTGGATAATATTGCACCGAGCGCTTTCTGCAGCACTCGAAACCAAAGAGCTCCTCGCCCCCCTCTCGTCTGTCGACCACCCGCCGCATGAGTTGGGAACAACCGATCGAGGGCGACACGGAGCACGACCCGAATGGCGTCGGCGGCGACTACGGCCTCGCGCCGGGGCTCGCCGTGTCGCAGGAAGACGCCTGGGCCGTGATCTCGAGCTACTTTGAAGAGAAGGGACTCGTGCGGCAGCAGTTGGACTCGTTCGACGAGTTCATTCAGAACACGATGCAGGAGCTCGTGGACGACTCGCGCTCGATCCGCATCAACCCCGAGCCGCAGTACGCGCCCGGCCAGGCCAAGACCAACACGGACACGATCTACAACATCTCGTTCGGCCAGATCTACCTCTCGAAGCCCACGATGACCGAAGCCGATGGCTCGACGAGCGTCATGTTCCCGCACGAGGCGCGGCTGCGGAACCTCACGTACTCGGCGCCGCTGTATGTCGACGTGATGTGTCAGAAGTACCAGGCGCCCGCTTCCGGGCCGGCGAACCTCGAAGACATGGAGCCGTACGACCAAGTGGAGACCCCCAAGGAGTTCATCGGCATGGTGCCCATTATGCTGCGCTCGCAGTACTGCGTGTTGACGCACAAGACGGACAAGGAACTCACGGAGCTCAATGAGTGCGTCTATGATCAAGGCGGCTACTTTATCATCAATGGAAGCGAAAAGGTGCTCATTGCTCAGGAACGCATGAGCAACAACCACGTGTACTGTTTCCGCAAGAATGCGGCGTCCAAGTACAGCTGGGTCTGTGAAACGCGGTCTCACGTTGAACACGGCGTGCGGCCGACCAGTACAATGTACGTGCAGATGTACCAGAAGGGCGGCGGCAAGAGTGCTATCACGGGCAACCAGATTCGGGCAGTGATCCCGTACATTCGCCAGGATATCCCGGTCGTCATTATCTTTCGTGCGCTCGGATTTGTGGCAGATCGAGAAATTTTAGAACACATTTGCTATGACTTTTCTGACGCGGAGCTGATGGAACGTTTCAAGTCGTCGCTGGAAGAAGCATTTGTCATTCAAGAGCAGGAAGTCGCACTGGATTTCATTGGACGACGTGGTAGCGCCATCAATGTGAGCAAATCCGACCGTATTCGCTATGCACAGGATATCTTGCAGAAGGAGATGCTGCCTCACGTTGGTGTGGAAGATCACAATGAAACTAAGAAAGCGTATTTTCTGGGCTACGTGGTACACAAGTTGCTGATGTGCTCACTTGGTCGCATAGGCGAGGATGACCGTGATCACTATGGTAACAAGCGACTGGACTTGGCCGGTCCCCTGCTTGGCGGTTTGTTTCGTATACTGTTCAAAAAGCTCACCAAGGACGTGAAGTCGTTTTTGCAGAAGTGTGTAGACAACGGCAAGGACTTCAATCTGACGCTTGCCATCCGCTCACGCACGATCACGAACGGTTTGCGGTATTCGCTGGCCACTGGTAACTGGGGCATGCAAAAGAGCGCCTCGAAGGCTGGTGTCTCGCAGGTGCTCAATCGGCTAACGTACGCTTCGTCGCTGTCTCACTTGCGTCGGTTGAACACACCTCTTGGCCGCGAAGGCAAGCAGGCTCAGCCTCGTCAGCTGCACAATACGCATTGGGGTATGATTTGTCCCGCTGAAACGCCCGAAGGACAGGCCGTCGGACTTGTGAAGAATTTGGCGTTGATGGCTTACATCTCTGTGGGATCGCCGCAAGCTCCCATTCTGGAATTCTTGGAAGAGTGGGCAACTGAAAACTTGGAGGAGATCAAGCCGCAGATTATTCCACACTCCACGAAAATTTTCGTGAATGGAAACTGGGTGGGTGTGCATCGTGAACCGAACGAGCTGATTCGCACGCTGCGATCGCTTCGCCGATGTGTCGACATCGATGCCGAAGTGTCGGTGATTCGAGACCTAATGAACAAGGAGTTGCGCATTTATACGGATGCTGGTCGTGTATGCCGTCCCCTGTTTATTGTCGAGGACAACCAGCTGCTGCTACAAAAGGAGCAGGTGGTGAAGTTACAGAACCACAAGATTACCAACTACTGTTGGCATAATCTGCTAACGGATGGTGTGGTGGAACTCATTGACACGGAGGAAGAAGAAGTGTGTATGATTGCAATGGAGCCCAAGGATGTCGGCACGGGCTCACAGATCCATACGCACTGCGAGATTCACCCGTCCATGATTTTGGGTATCTGTGCCAGCATTATTCCGTTCCCCGATCACAACCAGTCACCGCGTAACACGTACCAGTCTGCTATGGGTAAGCAGGCTATGGGTATCTACTGTTCCAACTTCCGCGCAAGAATGGACACTATGGCCAACGTCTTAAACTACCCTCAAAAGCCTTTGGTAACTACGCGTGCGATGGAGTATCTGCATTTTCGTGAATTGCCATCAGGTATCAATGCAATTGTGGGTATTGCATCGTACACGGGCTACAACCAGGAAGATTCGTTGATCATGAATCAGAGCGCAATCGATCGCGGCTTTTTCCGCTCTACTTTCTACCGCTGCTACATTGACCAAGAACGGAACAAGAGTCCACACGGTGGCCCCGGTGGTGGCGCTGGCGGTGCCAACTGCGAAGAATTCGAGAAACCGTCTCGTGAGAACTGCCTGGGTCTGCGCCACGGCAGCTATCACAAACTAGACAACGATGGTCTTGTTGCTCCCGGCACTCGCGTCAGTGGCAACGATATTATCATCGGCAAGACGTCGCCTTTGCCCCAGTCTGAAGATTCCTCTCTCGAGCAGCGCCACCACAAGCGCGATGCAAGCACAGCGCTGCGCTCTCACGAAAACGGCATTATCGACAGCGTGATGCTCACGACAAATGCCGACGGCTTTAAGTTTACAAAGGTGCGCTTCCGCAACATCCGAGTGCCGCAGATTGGCGACAAGTTTGCGTCACGTCACGGACAGAAGGGAACGATTGGTATGACGTACCGCCAGGAAGATATGCCGTTTACGGTGGAGGGCATTACGCCGGACATTGTTGTCAATCCTCACGCTATTCCGTCGCGTATGACAGTGGGGCATCTCGTGGAGTGTCTGCTCGGCAAAGTGTCGTCGCAAACGGGCGACGAGGGTGACGCCACTCCGTTCACCGACGTGACGGTCCAAGCCATCGCTGATACACTGCACAATTTGGGCTACCAGAAGCACGGAAACGAGGTCATGTACAGCGGCCACACGGGGCGTCGCCTGACAGCTCAGATTTTCATCGGACCCACCTTTTACCAGCGCCTGAAGCATATGGTCGACGACAAGATCCACTCGCGCTCGCGTGGGCCCGTGACAATGCTGACGCGCCAGCCGATGGAAGGTCGTGCTCGGGAAGGTGGACTACGTATGGGGGAGATGGAGCGCGATTGCCTCATCTCGCACGGCTCGGCCAATTTCCTCATGGACCGCCTCTTTGCCAACTCGGATGCCTACCGAGTCCACGTGTGCGACATCTGCGGGATCATTGCGATCGCCAACTTGCGCAAGATGACGTTCGAGTGCCGCACGTGCCGCAACAAGACGCAGATCTCGCAGGTCCACATTCCCTACTCTTGCAAACTGCTGTTCCAGGAGCTCATGTCCATGTCGATTGCGCCGCGACTGTTCACGCTGGGCAACCCGAACGTGGATCGCGTCCGCCAGTCGTAGTCAGCAGTAGCAGTAGCACTCAGGCGACTCGGAAGGCCGCGTGCGCTAAAGCTGTCTAGCGAAGACATAAACAACCAGTGCAGTAGACAGATGGAGATCATCGCATAGTGTTGTAACCCATGTAATGAGAAGCGCAGTGGTGTTCCGTTGCGCCACTTCTGGTCGAAACCAGTCACGCACAGGACGTGTTAGGCAACGAATACTCACAGCACACACTCCCACTCCCGCACACTCTTCGGCAAACAGACGCAACTCGTGTCGTTCATTCTCTATGTCTTAAATCCTCCGTTACTCGCGTTTGAGCATCTGGTTAGCGACGTTCTTCATGGGGTCGAGGCGCTTCACGCGCGAGAACGCGTTGATGTTGTCGTTCATGACGTAGTCGTACATGACTTTCACCCACGACGTGTGGCTCGGGAGGTTGTCGTAGAACTCGGGCGCGAGCGCGCGCAGCTCGTGGAGCCGCGAGCCCGCGATGAAGGGGAAGTCGTGATGCTCGTTGTGGTACCCCACGTTGAACGTGACGCGGTTGAGCACGCCGTAGTACGAGTACGTCTCGTAGCCGAGTACAAACTCGTAGTGCTCGGCGATAAAGTGGCCGGCCACGGGGTGGATGCCGCAGCCAACGACCGTGCCGAGCAGGAGGTAGAGCAGACCCGAGAGGCCGCCGTAGGTGTACACGAGGCAGTTGTAGCTCAGGCACACGGCGAGATTGATGGCTTCCCACGCGCCGGGGGTCTTGTAGTTGACAACGAGCGGCCGACTGGCGTAGAAGAAGAGCTGGAGGACGACAAAGGCCAACTTGGTGAGCTTCGTGTTGATGTAGCGGCCCTCGAGGACCGTCGGGACGTCCACGTCGACGCCGTCGACGCCCTGGTACCGGTGGTGGTCGAGGTGGTACCTCCGGAACGACGTCGCGGACGGCACGGCGAGCGGCAGGTTGGCCACGAGGCCCAGCAGTTTGTTGTGCAGGGGCTTGCGGAAGCCGAGGTTGTGCGCCATCTCGTGCATGGCCATCGTCATAGCGTGGTTGGCCGTGCCGCTCACGACGTAGAGCAGCCCGAGGTAGACGGGCCACGACCAGTGCTGGGCATGGAGCGCCAGGTACGTCTGCAGACCGACTGTCGCGGCCACGACGTACTTCGTCTTGGGGCAGTGGCCGAAGAGCTGCTTCACTTGGGGGTATTTGGCCATAATGAGCTTCCGACGCGTGGCGTGCGGCTCGTCGGTCGGCGTCCAGTGGAAGTCGCCCTGCGGCGCGAACGCCCGCACGAACGTCGGCTTGACGAGCTGCGCCTCCACGGGGGCCATGGACGGCAACGCGCTCAGCTCGACTTTGCACATGACTCACGACGGCCGATACGTCAAGATGTCGATATGCCAATACGTCTGACTGACTGACTGTGTTGTGGTACCGCTGACGTGGGTCACGTACGTGTGACTGACTGACTGCCTCAGTGTGCAGCAAAATCCAAAGTGTCTGGAGAGATGGAGAGGTCGCGAGGGGTCTCGAGATCGAGCCATTAAATGAACGGCCTCGGGCGTTTCTGAACGGGGCCTAACTGCTCGTCAGGAATCAGTTACGATAGGGCAACAGACAGACCGCAACAGACAGCAGAGCAGGTCGGTCCTGTATTGAAGCGGGTGGGGGGGATGGGCGACGGCGGCCAGAGACCCGCACAGAACCAAAGACTGGACAGAAGCGGGGGGGGGGGGGGGGGGGTGGGGGTGTGGGGCACGGAAGGAATACGGCCAGACGTATCTTTTGACGGACCGCTCCCACCACCCGCCCGCACTTACCACCCGCCCGCACTTACCACCCACCCGCACTTACCACCCGCCCGCACTTACCACCCACCCGCACTTACCACCACCACGTTGTCCGTGCGACACGGGTTACGTGGTGGTAAGCACACGTCGGAATCCTTTCGACAGCTTCCGATTCGATTCTGGCACACGAATCGAAACCGGCCAAATAGAGGCGCGCCACGGGGAGCGCCAGACGAGAGGGCGCCACATGTCGCCGGTGCGTTCAGAGCGTAGCGACAACCGCTGCTTTGGACGACGAGGCGACTGGTCGACCAGAAAACGATCGGGCGAAGGCGTTCGCTGCCGTTCGGTCGTCGCCTCAACGACAGCGCGCTGCTGATGGATTCTATGGACCGGCTACGTGAGCGTTCAAGACAGGCGGTCGGCGTGGCAGAGCGGGACACGATTTGCTGCGCAGAGGGAACTTTGCTGCTCTCTTCTCGTGCTGTCGCTGCGCCCGCCCGTTGGTGGCTCGAAGCACCGACAGCTCTCTCCTGTGTGATCGGGGCACGTCATGCAACCTGAGAATGCATTGACGAATCGACGCGAAGTGGAAACCGATGACATGTGGGGCGCGCACTGCCACGAGCGATGCTTTGCCACGTCCATCTGCTTAGACGTTACGAACCTGTTGTGTTGTTATTACGAAGAGGGACACTAGATGAAAACACAGGGACATTAAGGGCGTTGCCGTGAAGACGCAGCGGTACTCAGGAGAGATGCGACCATGTGGTAGAAAACGGATGAGGATGTGGCGGTTCGGGTGGCGGCGGGCGGTTCGAGGCGGCGTCGTGGGTGCACTTTCGACCCCATCTCTTGTCACCTCTCGTCCGTGCGAAAAGAAGCGCGTCCTGTTGTGTCTACTTATCGATCGATGACTTTCTTGACGTGCTCACATTGCGACGCGCTCTGTCGTCGCGCGTACCACATGCTCGACACGCTTCGCTCTATCGTCCATAGCTTTGTCGAACGTTAAGGCGAAGACTGCCCACGCCATGTTGCGCGCATCATGTGCCGTGAGGAGACATACACAGCACAGTCACGTCGTCCGCACGAGAGGAGCGGCCGTAGACAAATAAGTACAGCGTTTACTGAACGTCAATGTGTGCACGATCATACCCACGGCCCATTTCGTAGATCTATGCGCAGTCGACTGTAGCTGCAATATCGGTAAGTCGCAAGCGATGATAGCGCCCCAAGCAAAAGTCTGCATGTCGTTTTCCGCGACTTCGACTATGCCTGTGTCTGAGCCATTAATCAGCTGCTGCAACGCCACCTGCCGGACGGTCGACACACGTGACAATATCACAGGCTGATGATGATGCGCTGTTCGGGTGAACAGGGTCCGTCCTGATTCGGACCCGCTCGGGAACGGAAGCTCACGCACGTTCAACCACGAACTGGACGGAAATAGCCCTCATGATCTTTGACTCGAACTGGTACCAGTGATGCTCGACTTACATCTTGGGATGTTGGCGATGTCGGGAATGCCATAGAGACCTTACATAACGTACTTGTATTGCGTACGAGCTGATGCGAATGGCGACTTCTGCATTCCATGCGAGGACGGCTTCTATGCATTGTGCGATGCCACACGAGAAGATGCGTTGAGAGGCGGCTAGGTCCTCAGCTTCCATTGCTGGTTATGTGAATGATACGACGTTCTCATATGTTTCTTGTCACGCATTCAGTATAATAATGTGCGTCAAGCAAATCCATACAAACGTTGATTAATCTTACTACGGTGTCACCTTACCAGTCGACGTGACCGTGTCGATACCACTTGGCTGGTAAGTGCACTACGATGGACTATTGTCATGCCGTTTTCATCGCAGCAAAAGCAGGCACGATAGATTGTATTGATGGCAAACATCGTCAAGGCTGTAGCAACTTCGCGCTGTCAATAGCGCGCTATCTCCAGTCAAACTACCATGTGGCTATCTCAGCGTTTCAGAATACAGCGTAGACAAATGGCAATTGCATCGTTGACACTGTATTGGTCCTTCGCTGTACGCCAGTCTATCATCACGGCTTAGTGCACCATCATTCACCTGAGTAGTGCAGCAAATCGTAGCAGTGTCGCGCAATACAAACCTTGCCACGTCATCACATAGTAGAGTCTGTCAGAGATTGAGTTTGTAAGTGACAGTATACGTACGATGCAGCAAACGTTCGCAAACCCTACCGAGTCTGGCAAACCGCAAATGGTTCCAATAGACGAGCCAATGCAATAACTAGCGTGCCAGGAGCTTCATAACATGCAACTTCTATGTCAATCCGAGTTTGCGCGTATCATCCCTCAATATCATTGTCAAGTAAATAAACATGATGGTGCGTACAATGCCTCCCTATCGATAAGGTCCTGTGCGAAGCGTACAATTGACTTGGTGGCATCTCATCATTGTCGGAGGTGACGCCAGCACGTTGTGCTAATGTTGCTCTTGTTGCGTGGCTTCTCATTTACAGAGGAAATGGGCATGTTCGTCCCCTTTTCTCCTTATTAGCTTACCCTTTTTGTCAAACTTGACTTTCGCCACCTATTCCATATAATCACCCCCATCATGCAAATAACAAGTTTGGGAGGTACGACAATCATCTCCCATTTTTATAACGCCCCCCAATGATACAAGATTGCAGTCAGTTTGCCGGTTCGCACCAAAGAGGAGGCGAAGCGATGTGGTACTTGTAGTAGAGGGGCTACTATTTCGCGTATATTGTACTTGTGCATATACGTGTGGTACGACCAACAGAATGTTTAACATTGAAAGGCTTAGGTAAAATGTGGGATTCAGCATCATTGACGAGAGGATCCACGCAGGTCTGTCTTCTGCATAACATGTCCTACCACTGTGCAATTTGGCCCACTTATATAGCTTTTGTATTATAAGAGCGGTGCGATAAAAATATCGAAATTGTAATCGCTTCTTCTCCTTCCGCGCCATTGACTTCCGCTCGGTCCTCGTCCGCGGCGTTAGCATGCAATACTACCTTGTCCTCGCCATCCCCACAAAAAATAGATCTCGTTCGCATAAATGTGTGCATTTACTCACAGTAACTTGATGATGCTGCTGTCTAGAAGTTCACACGTGGCCAGCTTTAGCGTATATCGAGAAGCGTAGCCTCGATATACACTGACAGGCCAGGAAAGAGGGTGTAATTCGAACGCAACCGAGGTGCTAAGCATATGATGACGCTTGCAGATTGCGCCAATGCCCGCGCTGTCGACTAGTTAAACATAAAATGCCATGGAGTAACAACGACTGGCGGAAAGCTACGAAGAAAAGATTACTGACGAAGTCTGTCAAATCGTATTTCGTGATAAACTAGTTGGCAAATATTACTTTGTACTAGCACATTGTAGATGCAGATACAAATAAATCTGGCGAATTTGACCGCTACTATAGCATATTTCTATAATATGAATGGGTGCGAATCCACCGATTCCGTTTCTGTACGAACGAATGCAGCGAGCTTGATAATCAGAAAAGTAGTACGCGATTAAAGTTTTCTTTGATATATAATATTTTTGGGTCCGGAATAGGCGCTGTCGCAAGAAGAGAGCAAATTTATGTTTTGCTTCATCGTTCGCTCAAGAAGAAACTATCGTATCTGGTAACGAGACGCGTGTTAATAGCGACTCGTCAAAGCTGGGAATATGATGCCAGTATACAGTCGGGCTCGTGTGAGCTTAAAGGGTGTTGAAGACGATGGGCTGGACCAGGCGGGGCGATCCAGCATTGCGATAGTATGATACTAGCATGTCGTCCGTGGAAAAGCGGGACCGCTCGATTGCAGACTGGTTGCCGACTACAAACAAGTCTGCCAATATACTGAAGAGAGCGTTCACGTACGCATCAAGCAGTAGAAAGAGCTCCAAAAGCACCCAAGTCTATTCAGGACCATCCATTGCTTGTAACCATTTGGCATATCAACATTGCCAGTAACTTCGGAGTGGGTCAACAAAAACTCAGATGGTACACTGGTCTTTGAAACGCAGACACCTGTAGAGCATCAACAGTCGCACTACGAATCACAGATGTACTGTATGAAAATGTATGTTCTCCTTCAAACTCTGATGCGGGCGAAGAGGAGCCGGCTGCAACTGTCAACGCCAGCTATCGTTCCCGATGTCGAGCCTTTGGAAAAGGTGCTGATGGATACTTTGGTAGAGACGGGGTACTTAGCATACTAAGTATCAGCCACCGTGAAGAAGTCTGATTGGCCTGGTAGTATTTGGGGGCTGTATCATTTTTAAACTATTCAGGGTCGATGGATCATTACTGAAAGATGTTTGCTTACGCCTTATGATGATAATTCATCGATCTCATTAGTACAATCCTGGGCAGCAAGAACTCCTCATCTTAACAAACCCACACAATGACGCTGACGCCTCACTCCATCGCTCACATACGATTTGTTTTCACTCTGATTGACAGTAATTGCATGGACGGACCAATTTCGTTCTTACAACCACCACAACATTCATCCGGTCTAGTGTATCTGATAGACCACAGCTCTGTCAATTTATTTGCATTGGTGCACCTCTTCGTCGGTTTTTGTAATGTGGCTATATAAACGAATACATCGTTAGCAGCATATACGATAGTTTCTACTCCTTATGACAGTGCAGTGCAGGAATGGTGTGGTATCCAATGATATCATTGTAGACTTTTTCACTTTGAGGAGCACACGATTTTGTATACTGGCTATGTATCATTCGTGTCGGCAAGCAATATGAATCCGCAGCAGCATAAGACGGAAGAATGACAACTAACAATGTGGAAGATTGTACAAGGCTGACAATGGATCCGGTACATCGAAACACAACGTTTGTAAATAATGCTGATCACAGGGAATGAAGTAAAAATAGTAAAGCGTACAATAATCGGCCCTAAGATAAACAATTTAAATGTGTGTATACTCACTTCGCCAAAAGCACTCTAATCGTACTGCTGATGAAGTTCAATTGACGGTTTTAGCTATGTTAGATAGGAGTAATGACGGGACGACTCATCCGCTATTGGGCTGAAATATACACCCATCATATGCAGCCACAACGATCATTGAGAAAGGGCACGCAGCGTGCTATATCAGTACAAATTTTCGGTCTCGTCATCAATCCTTAATTCTGGTGCGAAACGTCTCGTTTTTAGCAAGTCAAGTAGGTCATGGCCACCACCACCACTTTGTACGTTACGCACGCACAACCATCTACCATTAGTACCATGGCCACCACAAGAGCATACCAAGTGGCTCCCTCTCTCCTACTGAACAACAGCTTATTGAACACATACGTCTCAGTCGTAGACGCATCATACGCTCACGACACCTGTCACTATTACAAACACACACACACACAAAACTCTTCGCATCGCATATCTCTGTCAGGTTTTACTTCCTCCCACAATCCATTTCCTCCCACACTCGATTCTCCTTGTCGCACACCAGTCACTCGTCCGTAGCTCCTCGCAATCGCCAATCAGTCAGTCAGTCAGTCAGTCAGCGCGTCGTCCGTCGTCCGTCGTCCATCGGCACTCGGGAGCTCTTCAATCGACGCCCCCCGTCTGCGTCTCCCGCGTATCACAGCACCTCGACGCTCCCTCCGTCCGCGTCACGCCCACCCCCCACAGTACCGCCCGCTCGCTCCCTCGATCACTCCCATGGCCGCTGCTGCTTCCTCCTCGGCCGCCCTGCAGCAGAATCTCGGCGAGTCCGAAGTGTTCGACCTCGTGTGCGACTACCTGCGCACGCGCCAGTTCTTCGCGGCCGAGCGCACGCTGCGCTCCGAGCGTGAGGCCACGAGCGCCAGTCCACCGCGCGCCGCGTCGCCCCACGAGCCGCCGCAGCTCAACGACGCACAGCTGCGGCCGTCGCCCGACGCGGCGCTGTCGTCGCGCCTCGAGGCGATGCTCGAGCGCAGTTACGTCACGCAGCTCGTGTCGGGGTCGGGACGGACAGCGCCCGAGAAGATCTTTGTGCCGCGCCACGAAGTCGACGCAGCGCCAAAGGGCGTACGCTCGCACTTGGACGGCAACGAGGCGCTCGCGGTCGACTGCGGCCGCCCTAACACTATTAGTGGCCACGATGGGCTCCAGAAGACAACGGACTACGCGGACGAGAGGGACGCGGAGTTTCGCTTAAGTACGCGTCTGGTCAGCTTTGACGCCTGCAGCGACGACCCGCACGGGTCGACGACGATGCCGATCTACCAGACGTCGACCTTCGCGCAACCTTCGGGCGACACGTTCGGCGCCTACGACTACACGCGCTCGGGCAACCCGACGCGCGCGGCGCTCGAGCGCCAGATGGCAGAGCTCGAGCGCGGCCACCGCGCGTTCGCCTTCACCAGCGGCATGGCCGCGCTCTCGGCCGTGTCCCGTCTCGCGCACGCCGGCGACGAGATCGTGCTCTCGGACGACTCGTACGGCGGCACGTACCGCCTGCTGAGCAAAGTCGCGGCCAAGAACGGCATCGGCGTCAAGTACGTGGACCTCTCGGGCGCGGACGGACATAAGAACCTGCGCGCGGCGCTGTCGGAGCGCACAAAACTGGTCATGATGGAGTCGCCGACGAACCCGATGCAGCGTATCTGCGACATTCGGCGCCTCGTGGACGCTGCACACGCTGTGGGCGCTCTGTTGTCTGTTGATAACACGATGATGAGCCCCGTGCTGCAGAACCCGCTGACGTTAGGTGCGGACATTGTCGTGCACTCGGCCACGAAGTTCGTGTGTGGCCACAGCGACACCATGTCGGGCATTGTCATTGCCAAAGACCCGGAGCTCTGTCGCGACATTTACTTTTACCAGAACGCCGAGGGCACGGGCCTCGCGCCGTTCGACTGCTGGCTGCTGCTCCGTGGCATTAAGACCATGAGTCTGCGCGTGCTGGCGGCGCAGAAGAACGCCGTCAAGGTCGCCAACTTTCTGAACGACCATCCGCTCATTCAGGCAGTGCACTACACGAACCTACTGGACGAGCACTCGCCTGACCGGAAGATCCACGACTCGCAAGCTCGCGGGTGTGGCTCCGTGGTGTGTTTCCGCACCGGATCGCTCGCTTTTTCACAGCATCTGCTGACCGTGACGAAGCTGTTCAAGATCACAGTGAGCTTTGGCAGTGTGAATTCGCTGATCTCGCTGCCCGGTGCCATGTCGCACGCCAGTATCCCGGAGGAGGTGCGCAAGGCTCGCTCGTTCCCCGAAGACCTCGTGCGTCTGTCCATCGGCGTCGAGGACGCGGAGGATCTCATTAAGGACCTCTCGCAGGCTCTGCAGTCGTATGTGCCTGTTCAAGTGACGAAGTGAGCAACGGAATGGCCAAATTATCGAGTACACGGGGCCCTCTGAATTCGGGCGGGGGCTAGATATGAGCCTTGCCGCCCTTCATGGGGCCAACGCATATGCAGAAGTACCCGTCGGCCTGCGAAGGGCATTGAGTCAGCTGTCGCCGTGCGAGTACTTTGTAGTGTGTTGGATCGTTCACCCGCAGCACACGAAGGTGTGCTGTGCACTTTGGTCCACGTGTAATCGGTAATTGTCGACCGAGACGAACGGGTAGAGCAATTAATGCAATATCGTCGACGTTTGACGAGTGTGAGATGGTTACGTCATCGAGAACGTGGTGTTCTTTGCGTGTGTGAATGGTCGTGCATAGCACAGCCTTGAGTCGTTCGTAAGTGGAGGGGGCGCCATGAACGTCTTCTGACCCAATTTCTGATCGTAAGTTCGGCATGATCGGCTAAGTTCGCCACTCCATATCTGCAATATCGGCCTCTGCCGCAACTTCCATCGGTTGCGTCCGAAGTGGCAATTGCGTCTTGTGATTGTATAAATGTGGTACGAAGTTGCTACTGACGGTATACCGGTTGCACTCACTCCAAATACAGTTTCGTCACGTATGCACAATACGAGACTTTGACTCGCTTGGTCTTCGTTGCGCTTCTGCGCACGTCCCGCACAAACGTAAGCTGAGGACTCAGCTCGACAGGAACGTGATTTTACAATCAGCGATGACGCGGGATACGCCCTCTGCTTTCCTTTTCGCATCGAAGAGGATGCGGTCGAGGCAACTTCTGCATGTTGAACAGGGCGTAGCCTTATCGTTGTATCGCTCGTGACTGTTCGCGCAACCTAGTTGTCTACATAGAGTCTATGCCTCCCCGTAGTTGCCACGCGTTTGGGGCACACTATGTAGTGTCCGCAACAAGCAGTGCGACATGGACCACATTGTTGACACGAGAAGCACTGACGCTCGGTACACCTACTTAGCCTGTAAAACGAATAGAGCACTGTATAAGACATTCCGTGTGCGCTTTTACAGTCAACAATGTGAGCTACGTGTGAAGTGGCACCAAGATGGATAGTGAGCAAGTTCTCTTACATGGGATGCGAGTTTTAGCCCGAATCAAACGTTGATGTAACATGTAGAAACGTACACCTTCAGGTCAGTGAGACGAGGAAGTTGACGAACTACACCAGTGATACCGTATGCGAGGCGTAAGCCAACAATCGTTGTGTCGACACGCTACAGACTACTTCGTGTATTTTCCGCTTCTTCTTCTCTTTCTTTCGTTCATGACAGAAACATGTCGAGCTGCGCTTTTGATAGGGAACAACGATATTGAGCTACGTACCAACCAGATTGAATGTTCACATACACAATGTCGTTACGGCTTGCACAAATCCTGCATCCTGACTCAGCATCAAGACCCTATTCATGGTCCAAGCTCACTTGCGACACTGGTACGCACTGACTCGGGTGCCAGCGGCAACATGAACTAAGACGGACCCGACACGAACTCGAGAGCTCACGTTCGTTCATCAAGCTGTTGTTTGTATTGACTGAGCACGACAGCTGCAAAGAATGCAACGACTATCGAAGATATGCATAGCAACGTACTTACGCGGTGTAGGCATCCACGTGCACGCCGGCAATGGCACGGCCGGACGGGTCAGCGGCGTTCTTGAACGCAGCGTCCCACTCGATCGCCGCCGGGGTGCTACAGGCAATACTGGGTCCACCGGGCACAGTTTGGGCAGCCACTTCGCGATGGAAGTGGTGCTGGAAGATACTGCGGTAGAAGTAGGCTTCCTTGGACTGCGGCGTGTTGTACGGGAACAGGCGCTCGGCGTGCTTCATCTGGCGCTCCGTGACTTTCTGCTCGGCCAATGCCTTGAGCGAGTCGATCCATCCGTAGCCAACGCCGTCCGAGAACTGCTCTTTCTGTCGCCACAAGATATGGTCCGGCAAATACGGGTGTTCCTTGTCGTCAAACGCCTTGCGGATAATGTACTTTTCATACTTGTTGGCCTTCGCATCGATCATCTTCTCCCGCGAGTCGATGTTCATGGCGATGTCGAGAAAGTCAGCGTCCAGGAACGGCACGCGGGCCTCGAGTCCCCACGCACTCGTCGACTTGTTCGCACGCAGACAGTCGTACTGATGCAGCGATCGTAACTTCGCCACCGTTTCCTTGTGAAAAGCTTCAGCGTTCGGGGCCTTGTGGAAGTACAGGTAGCCACCGAACACCTCGTCGGCACCTTCACCCGACAAGACCATCTTGATGCCCATGGCTTTGATCTTGCGTGACATGAGGAACATGGGAGTCGAGGCTCGGATCGTGGTCACATCGTATGTCTCCAGGTGCTTAATGACCTCCGAGACAGCGTCAATTCCTTCCTCAATCGTGTACGTGTACGAGTGGTGGACCGTGCCAAGAAAGTCGGCAACTTCCTTGGCAGCTTTCAGGTCAGGTGAGTTCTCGAGACCGATCGTGAACGAGTGGATCTTGTTGATCCACTCGCCGCCTTGGACCACGAGCTTCTGCTTCTCCCGCACAGCAATCGACGCTACAAGCGACGAATCCAATCCACCCGACAGCAGCACGCCCCACGGCACATCCGACATCATGCGACGCTTGACTGACGCCTCGAACGCGTCTCGCAGCACGTCCAGATCTAGTGGCGTCGTGCCAATGTGGCCAGCGTCGTACCAGTTGGGTTTGTACCATTGTGTGCACGTTTCCGTGTCGTTCGTAAACAAGTGACCCGGTGGAAAGACCTCAAAGCGCACGCACTCCTCCTCTAGCGCCTTCATCTCGGACGCAAACCAGATACTCCCATCGGCCCCGTAGCCGTAATACAACGGCGTGATGCCCATGTGGTCTCGCACGGCCATGAACACGTCCTTCTCGTAGTCATAGAGCACAAAGCTAAACATGCCGCGCAGCTGCGGGACAAACGAGACGCCCTGTTCGAGATAGAGCGCGATGAGGATCTCGCAGTCCGACTTGGTGCGGAACGCGTACGGCGTGCGGAGGCCCTCTGCGAGCTCGCGGTAGTTGTAGATCTCGCCGTTCACGCAGACCGTGACGTTGCGCTGCTCGTCGCTGCTGTAGAGCGGCTGGGCGCCCGACTCGGGGTCGATGATCGCCAGACGCTCGTGCTCGAGCGCCACGCCGCGGTCGGCGAACACGCGCACGCCATTCCAGTCGGGGCCGCGGTGCTGGATGCACTTGCCGGCGGCGAGCGCAGCTCGGCGGAGCTCGGCCTCGGGCAGCAGCGAGCGCAGGACGGCGACGATGCCGCACATTCGTTTGGATTTGGATGGCCACGAGCGCTCGGCGGTCCTGCGTGACGTGGGATGGTGTGTCAGGTGTTCTGATTGGGCGAAATTGCGTCGACGATGCTGATTGGGGGCTGAGCGGCCATGTGTGACGCGGGAGGGGGAGACGATGGAGGACGTTCGTTCATTGGCGGATATCATCGACCGGCGGGATGTGGTTAATTATCCATGTGGGAAACAGCACGTGGGGGGGGGGGTGTGATGGACCAGTTGGAGACAGTGCGAAGGGGCGTCGCACTTGGTGCCAGATCGGCCGTCGAATTATCCATTGTCGAATGACTGGGCTCGTTGTGGCGTCGAAGCGCTAGTGAACGTTGATGGGAACGAGAAGGCGATTCCAAGTACAGGCAACAAAAGGAGGCAATGAGTGCATGATTAGTAGCGCCAACAACACAAGGAGAGGTCAAAACGTAACTCTTGCGGCACGATGTTGCTGCAAGACAGCTGCTTGTGCAGGTGTAGTCGATTGACGTGCAGGAGGTAGTGCTGAGATCGAAAGGCGGGAATCAAGCCAGCAGCTCGGCCGATGTCAACGTTTCGGCACCCTGCGTTTCGCTCTGAATTATGTCTCGCGAATGTACCTACTCGCCATTCAATGCATCACTAGTAGCCCTTCACGTAGTAGATCAATCGTATGAATAGGCTTTTGGCGTGCTACCTCATGCCTTCGGTATATAAATGGGGCATCCCGCACTAGTTTAGTCGGGATGTTTCTGAACTATTGGGTAATGCACGTGCCAAAACGTGGCAGATAGAGCAGCAAAGTATGTGTAGGTCTTTGCAGGACAGAAAAGTGGTGGGTAATGTAGACAAATATGTTAGTGTATTATAACATGAAAAAGGATCATAGATCTACTTCAATCAAAGAAGGCGCAAGGACCAGCGGATGATGAGCGAATGCTGTTTATGTCACATGGATTCGGTCACGGTGACGTCGGGCTCGTTAACCAGTCGTGCATAGTAAAGACGCCTGTATTCACCGCAACAGCGTTGCTTGAAGTTGTGTCGATATTTAACACCTAGCAACCGTACGACGATGTCCTATTATCTGCTGGTCACACCAAAAGCGTCAAGTATGGTGGAGCGGCGACACGATGATGTACGAAGCTGAAGAAAGGCAAATGATCGAAACGACTACCTTTTGCCTGAAGATGACGAAGCATTGAGAATACGAATGATGTGGTTCTTGTCGCTTTTGCAGCTTCATGCACTGCAAGTTGGCCATAAAAATATATGCAAAGAGCGTTAAAGAGGGTTGTAGAGCTAGTCATGGTTGTTGGTTTCATCGCATCGTGGCTGAAGGATTATTTCGGCTTAAACAACATATTTGCGGAAGCTCACGAAATTAGAAAAAGAGAAACTGAGGCCGTATGGCGTAAACGGACTCAGGCAAGCATTAACTCTGTTGATGCACAGAAAAAGATACAAACGGTACAAACCTACATTCGGTGGCTTGATCACTGATGCAGCATGGATCGATGGAGTGCGTGGCAATCACGTGCATAACATTTTTCCCTTTGTGTCAATTCAATCGCCTCGTTTTTGTTTGCATCTTATACACAAGGGATTCGCTCAATAGACCAAGAATATTATCAGATGTATTTCCTGCTTACTCAACAAATTCTTAAAATTTTGTTGAAACGAGATCACGTGACTCTTACGACGCTGTTTTGAGTCAGAAATTCATTGTAAACAAAAGTATAGTCCTACCATCCTTACCAACGTGCACCGTTCCTTCATAAAAGATCTTCACATCCAAAGCTAGCGAGTACAAATTGATACCACGAGTCTATATGACTATGTGTATCGTCTTCAATATAATGACAATAGTATTCATCAACAATTCATCGACACTCGTCCAAACTAAGCCGGCATATCTATCCATAAACGCAGCTCACTTTTCCATTTAACCTAGCGTTACCGCGTAGTTGATTGCGTTTTTTGAGGTGCACCTTTACATGCTAGCGATATGCTACCAACATTGGCGATAGTGTTGATAGCCTATTCATGATTGGACTTGCGTTTCAGGAACCTGATAAACACTCTTTGGGCAAAGAGAAAATGGACGCCGATACATAAGAATGGTGTGTTTAAACAGCATGACATGTATTGAGCGTTCTTAAAGTCCTAATTGTTAGTCAATTACTTCCGAAGATGCTTAAACGATTACCTACGCTGATGTGTATCGTCACTTTCTGTCCATTTCTCGTTGCACGCGTCCATGTGTGTCTTGTTATGTCGTCATTGTGGCCGCTATCGACAATGCGCAGCGCATTCAGTTTATTACATCCGAAGGTAATATCCCGATATTGCCTCTACCAGTAATATCACTGGACTTTGTATTTCGAGACCATATCCACATCGATTTAACGATAAAAGTCAGTGATATGGTACTCGCTCACCCTGCACAATGCTGTCTTGGTGATAGAAGGCGAAGCGTTGCTGTATGACAAATTTCAACAATTCGTCTCAGCAGTATACATACGTAGCAATTCGAAAGCGCTGTAGCGGGCAATCGAGTCGCGCCTCGAACGCAGTCCCCATCCATCCCTGATGCTTTCCAAAGCTATTTGTATAAGAAAGTGCAAATTTGGGCTTCGTGCGGATGATGGAGCGGCCGTCTCAAGGTTTTACAGCAGAATCGAAGTTCTTGAGACAAGAAAAGTCGACGGATCAAGGCGCATATAGCAATAACGATAAAGCGACTTGTCGGAGAAAGCATTTGATCCCACTCAGCAGATGGAAAGGTTGGGCAGTGTGTTGCTTCGTTATAGCCTGTTGACTCATGGCTGCAACCGCTTTGGCATACAAAAAAGTAATGCAATCGTGGTGTGACGCACCTGCGTATGACGCATCCCGCTGTGGCCCCACACACTTGGTCACGTCTGCCGATACAAGTCCTAGGTAGAAGGCGCGCTATACGACAAAACGCTTTACATACAGCACATATAGGTCAAGAACGATCCATTCTGCAGGATTTTGTAAACTATCCAGGCTTTTCACTGCAGCGTGCGTCCTACTACGTATGTTGTTTATTTTCACTAGCGTCCGCTTCGCAAACCCGCCAAGATAGGTGGCGATCATGCAAGTCGGCAATCAGAATCCAGCTTTTGCTTGGTGGTCAGTGGAACAGGAGAAAATGATGGAAGAGGCAGCACAGTAGTAGACAAGGCCGGTCTTGACTTACCTCGTCAATCCTAGGCGGTATCGTAAGAGGGCACAAAGGCGACTAGCGAAAGGTGGAGAGGTCTGGGCGCGTTGCGAATCTTTCGTATCAGTATACTGTGAGATCGTCGTACTCGCGAAGGGTGAGGCGCTCAACTTGACGTAGATAAGAGAGAGAAAATGACGAAATATAGCGCTTGTTCTATGCGTATCTTGACGGAACTCGTCTGCGGCACTTCGTCATTGCGTGCGATGCGTTCTGTCAGGGCATTTTCACTTGCACTATCGATGATCAAACTTATCGATGCGTTTTGTATTGCAATGGTTCTTAAAGCTACTTCTAGCAGTTCGGCATCAGCCTCTAGCGTTTGTCCCATCTTTCACGTATCAATCTACTTGGTGGTCCATGAAAGTATATGAAGTCAGGTTAAGTGCTTCACGCTTTCGAGCTTATCAGGCATTGTCACGCTTGCTTTGGTCCATCCACTTGTGGAAGCCCCACCGGGCTAAGCTGTCCATCCGACGAGCTTGATGTCGTCATATTCAACGCCAGCCACTCGTGATCCAAGATACTGTCTGCCGAGTGCCATTTGCAACTACTGAAGCAGCAGATGCTCGACAAGAAGCGTTCGATGACGAGACACAGTTGCAGTCGAGACTGACCATACTACTCGTTACAGATACGGCACAGTCGTAAGTAAGACTGAGCTTGCGACTGGAGCGGCTGAGAAATGACATGTAGTGCTTGGAATATCGCGAGTCTGCTGCATCAGCTGCGAGCCACTCCCTTTGAATGTGAATCGCCATGTTCGTGGGAAGATGGCACGACATAGCTGATGTCTGTCCATCAATTGCATCTGCGACCATTTTTATCTCTCAAACAGGAAAGAACCTCAACGCTGCGGCATGTGCTTTCCACATTCGTAAGACCAGCAGTAGATAAAAAGGCTAGTGCTGCCTACACATGCTGCATCGTCGGGTCAACGTCATCCATCCAGTCGCAACAAGACGCGAACTACCGCCGAAGCGAGTGAAGGGCGCAACGCGAATGCTGTTTGTGACAAGCTTGTGGGGTACATATACAGTAACAAAAGACAGCACGCGCGTCGCAAGTAAGCAAGGGGACCAAAGCCTTCGAGCCAGACCACCCGGGACTAACTGCAGTGCACCCCACCGCTTCCGCATCGATCTTTCCTGGTCGCCGTTCACGCCTCAACAAGCTGCTGACCCATTCGCTCTCTTAGTTCCACTCCACTGTCCACCTGACGGTGTGTCTGCTGCTTCAACAAAGTCAGAATGTGATCTGTACTCACGTGTGTTGCGTAGATTTGCACAGTCTTCGCACATGGACGACCAGCGTGTCCGCCACCCCATCACTTGCGTCTCTCCTCGCACGACCTCAGCACCTGGTGCCCAGTCCCACACCATCTCACCTCACAATCTCTTCCAACCAGCCCATCCGCAGCCCTTCGAACGTGCGTACAGTCGCTGCCCTCTGCTCTCGCCGCCGTCCACGACCGTCATCTGACGCAAGCGCTGCTTTCTGGCAGACCTCCCGCCACGCACCCGACGCAAGCGCTGCTTTCTGGCAGACCTCCCGCCACGCACCTGATCCCTCGTGCGCCCTTTAGCGCTGCCCATGGGGCCGGGAGATACTCTTCACTGCGTTTCTGTATGGTACACTGCGCTCGGACGACGTTACACAACCGGCGACCGGTTCGCCTCGTCATTGCGCGCTGTGCCCTTTTTCTCCCCTCTTGTCGTGTCTGCTGCCCCTTTTCTCCCCCCTTGTCGTGTCTGCTGCCCCTTTTCTCCCCTCTTGTCTCTTCGTCTGCCCTTTTTCTCCCCTCTTGTCTCTTCGTCTGCCCTTTTTCTCGCCTGCTTCCGCTCTCTGTAGTGACTGCACGCGCGGCCAACGTTGCACGTCCGATCGTCACGTCGACGCCACTATTAGCCAATCAACAATAGCGACCGCCGCCCCGTTTGCCAGTCGGCGTGTCAAGTCGCACAGAGCCTCGACGCGTAAAAGCCATGTCACAGAGAGCCAGTGCAGGCGGTCGATCCTCTTCCTCCCCACTCGCCGCCGCCCGCTCGTTCCAGAGCAGACGCGACTCTGAGACTTGCGATGGCCCTGCGCGCCACTGCGACGCCACTGCTACTGCTGCTGCTGCTGCTGCTCGCACCGACGGCAACGCGCGCTGCCACGTGCGACACGAGAGGGAACGTCGTGCTCGTCGCTGGGCAGAACGACAGCGAAGCGATTGTCATTGACGCCGACTGCTTTGAGACGAATGTGGTCGCGAGCGACGACACGCTGATGGCGAGTAACTTGGGCATTGAGAAGGTGCTGAGTGCGCCCGACGTGAAAGACATGTGCGTGCGTGTGTGTGTGTGTCAATGTCGTGTTTTCTGGCTCGCTACATCGAGTTCTACCTCTCTCTCTCTCTCTCTCTCTCTCTCTGTCTGTCGTATTGTGGATGCACACACACATAGAGAGCGAGAAAGCGAGCGGGAGGCCGTGCATTTGTGTTTGCTGACAGTGTGAATACGTGTGTGCAATGGATTGCTGCAGTGACTTGTCGCTCAATAAGATATCGTCGCTGTCGCTGAAGGAGCTGCAGGCCGTCGAGAAATTGTACGCACGCCGAGTCGTAGACGCAGCTCGTGACACTTGTTATGCTGACTGACTGACGCCTCGTCTCTCTCTCACTCTCTTTGCATGTGTTTTGTCTGCAGGACGCTGACATCGAACAAGTTTGACGCGTTCCGGCACTTGAAAGTCCCCGCGTCCATCCAGACGCTGGACTTGAGCTGGAACAACATCGCGTCTTTTGACGGCATGAGTCTCCCTAGCACAATGACGCAGCTGTTCCTAGGCGGCAATCCCATCAAGTCCGTCGCAGGCGTGACGTTCCCGTCGTCACTCACGCTCCTGTACATCCACAACTTGCAGCTGACGGACCTGAAGGGCGCAACGTTTCCCGACAGTGTCCAGTATTTATCCCTCGTGCAGTCCGGTCTCTCTGGCTTGGACGGCGTCACTTTCCCAAACGAACTGCAGTACATGTACGTTTGAGCGCAGCCTCAGCTAGCAGCTAAATGGATGGAGAGCTGGACGGACAATGTGCTGATGCTGTATGCGTGTGTGTGTGTTTCGATCGTGGGCGCTCTAGTGACTTTTCGTTCAACACCATCGCGACGCTGCCCACCGGTTTGCCTTCGACTGTGCGGCAGATCACAGCAACCGACAACCGCATCACGACGCTATCGCTCTACTCGTTCCCGTCCAGCATCGCGTCGCTCAACTTCTCTGGCAACCCAATCGAGTCGATCCATGGCGTCTCGTTCCCACTGGCGCTGACAAAACTCGACCTGGGGGACCACAAGATCACGAGGTTTGAGATCTCGCGCTCGGACTACGCCACGTTCAAAGACCTGGACGTGTTCACTGCAGTCGTGTCCCAGACCAGCTGCGCCACGTCCGGTGCTGAGCTCGTCGCCGTGTCGGGCTACAGCATCTGCGTGATCTCGGACGAGCTGTTTGCACAGACGTACGGCGACGCGTCTCGGAATTCCGAGAGCACTGCGACAGTTCCAGTCGCTGGGAGTAGCAGCAGCAACTCGACCATCCTCATTGTGGTCATCTGCCTCGCCGTTGTCCTCGCCGTAGCGCTCGCAGCGTTTGTCTTTCGGACGTACAAGACGCGGCAGCCCAAGGACGCGTCGTACCGCGGTAGGGACCCCAACACCTTTTTCGTCAATGGCACAGACCTCGACACGGGCAACGACTCGAACGGCAATGGCCACCGGCGCATCGACGCCAACGGCTTCAACACGATCTTCACGGGCGGCAAAGTCACCATGATGGGCGGCACGTCGATCGAGTCGGCTCTCATCAAGTACCGCGTGCCCGCGAACGAGGTGCAGATCGAGCGGTCGATCGCCAAAGGCGGCTTTGGCATTGTCTTCCTCGCCCACTACCAGGGCCGCGCCGTGGTCGTCAAGAAGATTTTGCCCGAAAAGGCCGCCGACGACCGCTGCCTCAGTGCCTTTATCGAAGAGATCAAGCTCCTCTCGTCGCTCTCGCACTCCAAGATCGTGCGCTTCATTGGCGTGAGCTGGAGCATGTTGTCCGACATGGCGATCCTCATGGACTACATGCCGAACGGCGACCTCGACATGCTGCTCAAGCAACAGCGCGCGCGCCAGGAGCTGTACCCGAAGGAGTTTGACTGGTACCAGAACTCGCCCGTGCTGCCGGCAAAGGCTGCGGTTGCGCTCGACGTGTTGGAAGCCATTGTGTACCTCCACTCGTTCCCGTCGCCCATTATCCACCGCGACCTCAAGGCGAAGAACGTGCTCCTGAGCTCGTCGTACGAAGCCAAACTGAGCGACTTTGGCGTCAGTCGCGAGTGGCAGGTGGACACGACAATGACCGCCGGCATTGGCACAATGGCGTACATTGCCCCCGAGATCTTACGCGGCGAGCGGTACACAGAGATGGCCGACATGTACTCGTTCGGCGTTTTGCTGTCCGAGTTGGCCACGTGCGCCAAACCCTTTGAGGGCGTCACGAACGCACTGATTGTGCTCAAAGTCACGAGCGAAGAGCAGCCAGAGATGGGCTCCACGTGCCCCGAAGACATTCGGGAACTCGCCAAGCGCTGTCTCAGCTTTCACGCGAGCGACCGCCCGAGCGCCAGTGTGGCTCACTATGAGCTGCGGACGCTGTTGAAGTTGCACTCGGCGTTTGAGCTCTAGACACGAGCGGTCGGTGCCGTTCGATGGGAATCGACTGGAGCCCAATCCACGGGGGAAGTGACTGGTTAGTAGTGTTAGCAAACGAGGCGTCGCCCGGCCCATGTCTCAGGGCAGTGTTATAAGTATAGTGGGCGTGTGTGGCAGTCGGACGTGTTGGGGCAGCGGAATGTCTGTTGGCAGAACACCAACAGGCGCAATGCAAAAGGCCATGTCGACACGCACGGCGGTGCAAAAGTATCCTGTCCTGTCCTGTCCTATTTTGTCCTGTCCTGTCTTGTCTTGTCCTGTCCTGTTTTGTTCGACGTTGGAAGTAATATATACAAGCGCCTGACAAAGCCGCAGTCTCCGTGCGTACAAAACGACAAGCGTGTGCGAAAAAGCGTTTTCGGCGTTCATCACGCCACTTTTTGTAGAAAGCCAGCTCGACTTGACTGTCGTTGCCAAAACGTGTGCACAGCTGCTCGAACGACTGACTGCTGCTGCTCCCTGGCAGCAGTGACAGGGGTCACAGCGCCCTGTCGCACGTTGCCGCGTCGTGATAAGTCGCAAGCAAAGCGGCCCTGCTATGCACCCGACATAGTGCCACGCTGTTGTCCTATCGCGGATCGTAGCTCTCTTACCCCATTAGACGCGCGACGAGCACTCGACAGTCGTACGACAGCCATCGTCCGTATGGAGGTACTCCTCGTGTCCGGTTGAAGTGTGCAAAGCCTGCCTCGCGATCGTCTGTGTCAGTGCAGCGTTACTGCCCGCTCCACAGTGCTCTGCCGGCCCACGCGGCGCTCTATTCACTGTCGATCTCGCTTCGATCTGCTCAAGTCCCGCTTCGACCCCCAACGTCCTCTTCCCTCGACCCCTCATCATATCCATGGGCTGCGCGCAATCCAAGACCGAAGACGTAAGTGCCGCGACGGAGCCTGAGGCTGCGACTGTCGCCGCGGTGACCGAGACGGAGCCCGTTCGTGTCGAACAGCCCGAGGCACAAGCGACGGAGACGGACAAGTCCGACGAGCCAGAAGCCGAGGCGGCCTCGCCTGCCGAACCTGCGGACGAGCTGTATAAGATCAGGGGCCACGAGATCGACGAGGCCGGCGTCGTGTTCTACATCGTCCAAGCCGTCGACGGCGACATCAGTTTCTTAAAGCGCTTCAGCGAGTTCAAGGCGTTGGTGGTGGAGCTGGGCAGCCCCACGTGTCTGCCAGCGCTTCCTGGCTCGGGACTGGGCGCAAAGCTGCGCGGCAAGCACAACTTGTCCGTGATCCAGGAGCGCGAGACGCAGCTGGCCGTCGTGCTCAACGCCATTGCCAGAGATGCAGAGCTGGCTGAGAAGGAAGCGTTCAAGAACTTTGTCCAGTAGTCACGAATCCATCATCACCATCCGCGATGATTCATTCGTTTCTGGGACAGACTTCTTACCACATGTGCTAGCGGCTTCATCCGAACACGCTAAAGCTGTGCATTTGTATTCCAATCAATGTTTTCTCGTTAAGGCACCGCCGCAATAAACTTCCTATCGTCACACAAAGCATCGTCAACGAGCGAGTGCCATCTACCGCATGGCGATAAAAGCTTAGTCGTAACGACATGCAACACCACAACGTACTATACATCCTTTGACGACACCACGGACTGCCCCAAATCGTCGTCAACCTGCGCCACCGAACAACTACTGTCAAGCTCGAGTGCTCGTCGCGACTCCTCCTGCGCCTTGTACTCGTCCGACAGCTTCCACTCGCGCCGACGCACAAACCCATGATGTGGACGCGGCTTCTTCGCTTTTTTCTTCTTGTTCTTTCGACGAGACGATAGGAACGCAGTGCTGCTGCTCCGCCTATTGGAACCAGTTGCAGCTTCGTCTTCATTCTCCTCTTCATGGACTTCGTTGGGAGGCACCGACGGAAAGAAAGCAAAGTCCTTTTCGTACACCCACCCGTCAGCATCGCATCCCGCTACGTCCATATTTAGCTCTAGACCGGCCAAGGGAATAGCTTGGGCGCTGATCTTGCCCGAACGATCACTCCAGCGCTTGCGATCCGTAGGCAACAGATAACCTGGGAATGAGCTACCGTAGCCGCAGAATGGCTGGTAGCGCTGATTTTCGAATAACACCGGGTCGTCCGAGTTCAAAATCGCGTTACGTACGTCTGTGTTGATCTTCTTCCGACAGAGCTGACCGCTGCTGTTGTTCGTTCCGGACAAGATCCAATTGACTATGTTGGCCGGCTTGTCGAACGCAAACCCGGTGTGCAGCTCGGAGCGACGCGCCATCGTGAGACGAACGGGTGCACTTTCATGTACACGACGGTCCTGGTAGTCGATCATTCCAGCCAGCTCTGAGTTCAGATAATTGACGGGAGGAGGTTTGAAGTCCGCCAGGTCTTCGCACGGAATCGACGACGAATTGAGCTGCGACTCCTTTACCAGATCAATGTACTCTGGAAAGAAGCGACGCCGAATCCCTTCGTAGAAGAAATCTTTCGACAAAACTGCCACCACGGCAAACACTTGACCGAGCCAGAACTGAGGGCGACCGAACTGCCATGGCAACGAATCCGTGTCATAGATCCAGTCAATCTGGTCCACGGCGTATTGAGATGCATATATCGTTAAGATCGTAAGAACCATGCTTCCGATCTCAAGCACGTCCCACGAGTTTACCATCAAACAGAAACGCATGTTCACGACAACGCACAAAATGGTCCAGCCAAGGGTCTGCAGCGACAGATACTCGATCGTGTTACCCCCGCGTTCAATATTCCAGCCAACAGCCAGAATCGCGTAGTATATTCCCACCGAATCGACAAGGCCCAGCGCGATCCACTTCCAGAACATCACGTGAGTGAAAAAGCTCGTCCGACGCGCCTCTGCATGATAGAGTGCTGGGAACTTCAGCACGGTCTTCTTTGGCAGATCCTTATCGTATACCGAAAAAATGACAATCGGAAGGGCCGTGAACAGGAGATTATAGCCCTGCTGGATAAATGCCGAGTAAATCATTGTGCCCGAGTAAGCAGTAGGCCATAACGTGTGCCAAAACATAGACACGTTGTACGCAATGTTCTTGTAAAATGTGTACACGACGAGAGCTGCAACGCGGTTGTAATTCCACCGACCATGGACCAAGATCAAGTTGCTCAGAAACCTGAATTGAGCTAGTGAATAGTCTGAGCTGTTCACAGCTTGTAAGCCCTCTTGCCCGCTGATACCGACGCCAATGTGGGCGCTCTGGATCATTGGAACGTCATTGGCACCGTCACCAATCGAAAGCGTGTGTGATTCCGGAACATTGAGCTTCACCAATTCGACCAGCTGCGCTTTTTGCTGAGGCGAAACACGACAAGCGACCACAACTTTGCACAATAGCGACACACGCAGCAGGTGCAAGTTGTGCAGCGGGTCTTCCAATATTTTGTTCAGCGACCCGCCGTCGATAACTAGCGCATGTTCATTGTTACCGGATGGCGGTGACAACGCCGCATAGGCATCCACGGTCGGTGCATGCGACTCATCATCATTCATATCATGGATCGAGTGGAAAATCTTGTCGAGTTTTCGTAAAATCGAGCCCTTCGTTCGAAACTTTGCCGCATTGATCACATGCCGCTTCATGTCGTTGTTCAGCAGTCGACAAGCATACCCAATGTTAATGGCCGTCTCCTCCATGTCTCCGGTTAGCACCCATATACAAATTCCAGCTTTAGCCAGGGACTCCATCGTTGCAGGTACGCCATCTTGCAAACGGTCCTCAATAGCAGTAGCACCGAGCAGCTCCAAATTCGACTCCATTTGGTTCTGTAGCTTGTCAATGGCGTTTGGCTCGCCGAGCGACTTCGCCTGAACTTCATTGAGATCAGCAGACACTTGGCGATACTTTGCATAGAACTGTTCCCACACTTGAGGTTTTAGCCTCTTTGTACACACAACTAGCGTTCGAAGTCCGTCTTGTGCAAAAGCTGCCAGATGTTTCTCTGTTGCAGCACAGATCTCTCGATTGTTCGCGGAAGTCGGATCCAGGCGAGGAAACAACATGCTATCAGCCCCTTTCGTAAGCACCAGCACGTCTTCCTCTTCGCATTCTGAAATCAGCCGGAGCTCATCGTCACGTTTTCGACGCTGCACTATAACTGACATGCGCTTTCGGTTCGAGTCGAACTCAAAGACTTCCAACACATCGTACTGATCGACAGTGCCGTCGGATTTCTGGACAGATACACTGCCCGGCTCGCGGTCAATAAACTCGTAGCCAAAGTGCTTCGCGCCGCAAACGAGAGCAAGCTCGTCCGGAGACGAAGCCGAGTAGCTAATGGACGGACTAGTATCCTCTTCAGAAGGCTCAAGGCGCTCGATCAAAACACCATGACACAGCGCTAACAGGGTCATAAACTCCTCGATTTTCCCGCTCTGGGGGTCGTTCTTGGCCTGCATGTCACGCCACATAGTCTTGTCGTGAAACTTCACATTCGGGGTCGGCTTCCCTGCGCGTGCGTCAACGAGTGCAACGTCCTTCTCGTCGGCGGATTCGTCGTCCACTACTTGCTCACCTTTGTAATCACTTCGCATGCGGGCAGCAACACCAATGGCTGTCGTTCCTTTGCCGTAGCTCCGGCCTCCGATGCTACACTTACGAAACTCCATCCTGTTACACGTGAGAGTGCCCGTCTTGTCAGAAAAGATGTGTGAAATCTGGCCCAATTGTTCATTGAGCTGCATGTTGCGAACTTTGACAGCAGTATCGCTCCCTTCGTCATACATGTCAAGATCTCGCTCCATGAAGTAGCTTTGCAAAGCCTTGACGAGTGTAATGGAAACATACAGTGTAATGGGTACCATTGAGGCGAGCGTCGTGAAGAAGTATACAAACGTTACGATGAAGTGGTCATCCCAGCCATCCAGCTCCAAGTACGCTGGAATGATCAAGCCATTCATCCATATTCGGTCCCCAGTAGCACCGATGAAAGACATCAGCATCAGAATGACGACGACAACAATCACTTGCTTGTTCGTCATCTCGTCGATGGACGAAATCTTCACTGGAAACTCGTCACCAGAACTCATCATGATCTTGGTGTCAACGCCAGTGTTCACCACAAGACCATAGATGTAGCTGGTGTTGCGCAGTTTGCTGCCGCGTAGCAGCATGTTTTTCAGCGTGAGGGGCACCCCTTCAGCACTGCCTCCAGTCGGACCCTCTTCCAAGTATATCGTGCCCGAGTACGTGTTGATATCGGCGTTCGGCAGTTCACTCTCCACATATCCTTGAACAATGTACCCGGCCTCTTCTTCGTTCTGAAAACTGTTTCGCGTCGGTGCTGGAGCTTCTCGCAATTTCAAATTCGTCTCGCCATCCAGATTCTTCGTCTCCACGTAACACAGACCCGTGTTGCCATTCGACCGCGATCCTTTCGCAGGAACTACCGCCATAATCATGACATCCGCTGGCAAGGTCTCCCGATTTGCAACCTTGACAAAGTCGCCCACTCTCAGCTCGCGCCATTCAACTTCTTCGAACTCGCGCAGCTGGCGATTGAACACCCGCGTCTTGGCCGAATTCGCCAGATCGTCTGCTGTGTGGCGCTTGTAGTCCTCAAAGCCGGCAAAGATGCCGTCAATGACCGTGACGATCGCCAAGGGAATGAACTGCAGCGGGACGCCGTTAGTCGGCGACACGGACGGGATCATCTGGAAAATCCCAATGAGTAAGAAGTAGAGATTCGCCGTCTTCTGGAACGTCAGGTACAGGAACACGGGCACGAAGCTCCACCACGTGTACTGCGACGTCTTGACCTCGTTCGACACAAAGTACTCCTCGTGCTCCAACCCGTCGTCGTCGTCGTCGTCGTCGTTCACTGCAATCGCGTCCCCGCGTCCGTCTTCATCTCCGTCGCCTCCCCCCGGCGGCCGCGGCACCCGCTTCGGCGCGTTGTTGCCGTCGTTGATCTTGACAATCTTAAACGGTCTCCCGCCGTCGCGTCCGGCCGCCGTCACCTGCTGCGAGTCCGTCGACTGCAAACTGCTGCTCCGGTCCACTTGCTGCTTCCCCCTGGCCCCACCCCGTCCCGGGCCCGTCGTCGCGCCGTCCGTCGCCGCTGTCTCGGCGTCTCCCACGCGCGCACTCGTCTGCATCGCGCGCTCAAAGTCCGTCAGCTTGCGCGCCTCTGCAGCAGTCGCGCGTTCGTCGTCGTCCGAGCTGTCGCGCCCGAGCGAGTGGCGCGCGTTGCGCGCGTGCTCCTCGTGCTCGCGCGCCCGCACGCGCGAGCGCAGCGACGCCGCGTTCGCCGGGTCAATGTACCGCGTGGTGGACCGCGTGTTGCGGCGGAAGCGGAGCGGCCGCGGCAACTGGCGCGTGAACTGACGCCAGTTGGCGCTGGGGCGGGCGCCGGGCAGCGGGACGTCGCCCGTGTCGCGGAGCGGCCGCAGTCGCCCCGTGAGCGGCTGCTGCGACGTGAACGTGCGGAAGAGCGCGGGGTTCGCGTGCCGCACTTTGGGGACCCGCGTGGCCGGCGCCGAGCGGTCGCGCGGCAACACGTCGACGGTCCGGTGGCGGTGGAAGTGCTTTGTCGCGGCGGCAGCGGCCGACGGCTCGACGCGTGCCGTGGCGACGGGCGACGCCTGCAGCCGGTGGTACGCCGTCTGGGCCGCCGCGTCGTCGTCGGTGCGATTGGCATTGCGACTGCGGTCGACGGCGTCGCGCTCCATGTTTGAGCAGTGCGCGCGATGGGGCACAAGGGCAACTGCAGAGGAGGGACAGCGTCAGTCAGTCAGTCAGACTGTCAGACTGTCAGACTATCTGTCTGTCTGTCATTTCGAGACGGACGCCGAGCGAGAGGGGAACGCGGGTGCGCGGGAATGATTGCTGTGATTGCGGTCGCGGCGGACGAGGACGGGAGGCGGGGGCTCAATTGGCGCAGTCGTTTTGAGACACGCGCGTGTACCAGTCGCCGGTGGCTTGCGCTGGGGGGGGGGGGCCAGAGAACGGACATGGACGCCGAATGTCTCACGCTGTTTCAGGTGATCACCGCGAGCCAGCGAGGGAGGAAGAAAGGGCAGTTGCTGCTGCTGCTGCTGCTGGCAGCTGGTGGCAGCTGGTGGCGGCTCGTGCGGTTGCTGGACAGCACGCAGGAGAGAGTAAAGAGCTCGCGGCTGCCCCTTCTGTTCACTTGTGACTCGGCACGTGAGCGAGCGCGTGAGTGACGAGCACTCGACCAACGACGGAAAAGACCGTCGCGTTGTTGTCGTCGTCGTCGTGAATGGACGATAGACACCCAGCAGCTGGACGGCATTCCGTCCGCGTCGCTCAGGGGCCGCCATTCGTCCACTCGTGACGAAAAGGTGTCGTGTTCCGGAAAGGTGCTCGGGACGGCTGCGGCCGTTCATTCCGGGGAAGTTGAAGGCCCAGAAAGTGGCTGTCGTGACGGAAGACGTGGCCATATCACGGCATGGGTCGACGAGAGCGGTTTACGGAAGGGCTCTCCCGCGCACGCGTGTGGCAGCCGTTCGTCAGCAATCAGACGGGAAAGTCTATGGACTCGAGAGAATGAATATCGCACGTACGTACACACAACATATTAAAATGTACAGGCTTCGCGGTCAACGAAGGCTGTTTCATTCTTCGATAGCGCCTGTTTCTGGCCGTCGTGTAGAAGGCGATCATGCACCAGTGAGGCGGCAGAAGAGCGACGGAGAAACACCAAAGAACGACGAAGCAATCGCAACCGTACACCACCTTCTTCCCGGAAACCCTAACCATGTACCCAGCCATTTGGTCAATCTGGATGCAGCAATTGACGCTTCTTTCCCTCCGAAAAACTGTCCTCCAGTAAGTTACAATTCTCGGTAAGCTATCCTCTTTGGCGTCAATCAATCTCGTACGATGGCTGGCGACTTGGAAGTTCTGACAGAGTCAGCACTATACCGTATCGACCCAGTCCATAAATGTCTGACTCGTTTCTGAGCTCAATGGTATGCCGATCAGATCCCGTCGTCATTGGTAGTCGGTTTTATCGGATAGGAAACCTGCTTAGACCACACGTCAAAAATGCAGCAGCGCACCTAGTGCTTACACTGATATCAGTATGAGCCACCGACACTGACGGCAGTGTATCTTTGTGCACCGGAGCTTCACATTGCGGAGGAAAGAGTGTCAATCAAACGAGAATGGCATGGTCAAAAGAGAAAAGGAAAAGGGATATATCATCGAGCATTGTCAAATCTTGTATACCGTCGTAAAATCTACCCTTTTCAATATCAAGAATGCAAACATGTGTGCTTACTCCTTGTCCACCACCCATTACACGCGTCGCGTCTCGATACGTGGACCTGTTGTGATACCGTAACCAGCCTATCGTCAAGGAGCGTGTCGTCGATTGGTGCTAAACTTTGACCGCAAAAGGACCCCGATGTAATGTTGCTGAACGTCACCCGCGTAGTTCTGCTCTGATTGCAGAGTTTTGAATATTGCTATCGGCATAGAAAAAGCTCACTCCATTCCACTATTTTTGAACCCGATTACTTCCGCGGATGTCTGGGCGCATTGCGATACAATCGTCAAGTCTTGTGCAGAAGCACTGGTCATTGCCCGACGGGTCTGATCCGAAAAATTCGCTCGACAAGAGCTTCGATTACAACCTCACGGGCTGACAACGTAGACTTTCGTCGGGGCAGTAACTTAAGCGTCAACAGGACCAGTAGCTTAAGCGTCAACAGGGTCAGTAGCAATTTGCAACGAGTAGGATGGCCCGGCAAAGAGTCGGTTTCGAAGTGAAATGATCGATTACGACTCACTCAAACGTTTGCGAACCGCAAACAATCATACCGGTCCAAAACCAATCAAATTCGCTTCAACCGGGAATCGTGTCATGCAAATGAGCTGGCCTTCCTGAAGAATTGTGATCCAACGCCCAGAGAAGGACTACGAATCGACACAAAAGAAAAAACAGCAACCGCTTGACTTCATGCAAAGTCATTATCTCTTGCAATGCGTCTTCTGACATGACTTGAGTAGTCCGTATCACTTCATTTTTGCCTAATCGTTGTCTGCTGAATCCGAGTATGGTTTCGTTTACATCACATATGTAAGGGTCTTCAGCTTTACCTGAGCCAAAAGCTCTAAGCACTAAAGATGCAATGTATACCAGACAGAGGTATGCATTGCATCTTTGTTGCTTTTGGCTTTTCAGAGGGTGTACCAGTGTGAGCCCTTTACATGCCATCGAGGATTATATATCAATGTGAACATTATCGTAGTGATAATATTTATCAATGCTACCCGGCTAAGGAAGAACTGTGTTGATGGGATATTATATATAGGGTCATATTCTTTGACCGCCCCGCTTATTGGTTGATAAAGGCAATGATATCGACTACATGTACCACCAATCACTGCCGGACGCGCGCACTGGGTGGTGAGCGAGAAACCTGCCCAATAGATTGTAATTAGTTACACTAAGCCAAAGAGAGTTGATCAAAAGAAAAATAGTTACTTTATATATACGGTTCTACCTTTCCCCCCTACCCGAGCTTCCTTCGCTGACCTAGATAAATTGATGAATATGAAGTACATACGTTCTGTCCGGATAAAAGGATGCTGAAATATCGATGACCACGATTCGAAAACGCCGAATATTGATATTCGGTAGTAGGAGCGGTGGTGTAGGAGTGAGCCAAAATCACAAAAGGGTGAATCAAGCGAGTATGATATTGAGCCTAGACATAGCATATGGCCATTTCGTCACGCAGCCAAATTTGATAGCTACCGTAGGTATCAAACGCATACCATTTGATGAATAGCCGCTGACTTACGGCTCGATTAGACTAGCAAGCCTTTACTCGGATTTCCTATGCTCACAAGTGTCATGTGTCATATATCGGCTTCATTAATTGCATGAAGGTGCCTCCGTAACCTTCCGCGCATTTCCGTGTGAAGCATGCGTCGTTTCGATGAACAATGACGCCAGTCAAAACGAGTAATATGTAGTCAACTTTTGAATATAATCTGACGTAAAATCTGCTTGAATATCCAGCCTGCAAATACGTACGTCAACGATCGATTGCACCACAAATTGCGCGTCTTGATCAATGGTAAATGATATTTTCCGCTGACACCATGGCCTAATCCGTAAAAGCAGAAGGCGATGTCAAAGTCTGCAGCCGACCTACCCGTCGCTACAAACCGTATGTAATTATCAATTTTGGGTTGATAGATCCGTCAAAACACTACATAAAAGTACATCGATACTTTCAGACCTTGTAAAACGACGCATTAAATGGAACGCGCTTACTTCTGAATACGAGGTGCCCTCGAATCTGATTGAATGTCACGCATTTGATACGTTGCGAGCACTCGCGGACTGGTATTCAGATACGTGTTTGCGTATTCATATAGGATTTTATTCACGCGCTGTATTGGTACAAGCCATCATGGACTGACATAGCAATATTGCATCACTTATATAGGTCCGCTATCTTCTTAGCTCCAAACATTCAAAGAATCATCTGGTCATAACTGTTACTTGACACCCATCATGAATATGCATACTATATCCAGATATGTTGTCACACTAGTCGAATAACGTTGAATCGGTAGCCACAAGGCAATCGAAGATAGTAGATCTAGTCAAAATCCTGATGAGCACGCCGTTGATCGTTGTGATCATTCAGCATGTCGATATGGTATACGACTTGTCACATTACATAATTGCCGATATGTGATCGGTGTCACATATAATTGGTATGCGTGTCTATCCAGCTGCATGTCCCAAAACCCGATATCTCTCCTTACACAACGATATGAGTGTTCATAAAAACACTAAACTTGACATCAATCAACATTTGCCGGACTACTTATGATGAGATTGGACTTATTATGATTTTTATCAGTCACTAGAAGGGCGAACTGTCTTAGATTTCCAATCCATGTGACCCCCAGGACAACATGGTGTCAGGATAACGATGTAATTGCTCTAGTTGACGGTAGATTATTGCATCGAATGATCTACAACATAGTTACCTTTATCGCAAAATATGATCCAACTCTTCCAATTTGTGCTTCGATGAGACTTCTTGAGTATGCGTTCAACGATGTCGCCAGAACATGGACATCGCAAACTGCCGGCGATCGACCTGGCGCATACAGTTTCATCGACCATTTTCGATGAAACCTTTTACAAACCACAGACTTTCGTACTGGAATGTAGTAAAAACTAGGCGATACGGTTAGGGAGAATTGGGATGAAAGACCTTTCCCAATAGGTCGTAATGGAGAAAAAAGAGGGTTGACGCCATCAAGAGTCGGTATCGTCTGTTGTGAAAGAGCTCTTTGGACGGAGTGCTAAGACTGAATAAATTAGTCATCATTGCACATCAAGATCGTGAGATGCTAGAAATTGGTGCATGTTTCATACAGCTATGTGTCGAGTGGTCCGGAGATGTACAAATCACAGGTTTCAGTTCGTTAAAAGTAGTTGAGCTAGTACGGTCCACCAGTGACGTGACTACGGATAATTGAGACGAACTAACTATGGTGCCTTTAAGTAAGCTGTGATTGCTGAACTGAAGGAAAGCAAGTTGGATGGGTTGATATCGTAAAATACGGTAGCGCAGAGATGATGCAAACTGCGGCTGCTCAATAAGTAGTCTTACTCATAGGACGGGTATCGGGTGCATGTTGGGAACTTCTGTGCCGCCGAAGATCAATAGCA